AAGACATTGTTAGTGGTTGTATACAAGATGGACCTTACATACTTCACAGTACTGTTGATGTTTGATCAAATAAGTATGAACACAAGCTATGAACAGATTTTCAGTGATTTCCTGTTTAACAATTTAAAATTAAACTTCCTTAAATAATTCATTATTCATTTCATATAAAGAGGTAATGGATTACCAAGAAAGTACGGCTCAATGTGTAATATTTCCCAGTAATTGATGATTTCATGCCTTTGGCCCTGAAGATGTAAGCTACTATGACCTGTGTGTCAGACGATATTGTAATTGACATCTCATTGGTGACTGAAGTGTGATGTCGACAAACAAGAATGTTGTTTATACCAATTATTCTGCTTCTTTATGTGTACATACAAGTATTATATACACATAATTTGTTGTGCTTGTGTGCGTATATATTAATGTAATGTACACACATGTCGTCGTTCAATGTATAGTAGGGTTATTTGCAAGTACATTTTTCCCCCTCAGAATAGATTTTTAAAGGAGGGGAGGGGGGACTATTGGCTGGCTGATTCTTCCCCTCTTGATATTGATTTTTAAGGGGAAAACAGTCAAGTGGCTGAATCATTCCCCCTACTTCCATTCCCTGATGTAAGTTTTGAGGGGTTGGAAAAATTTGGTTGACTGACATGCTACCTTCCCTGTATATTAATTTGGTTAAAATGGTTACAAAACAATGGGATTAAAAGTGACCTACATAACAGATAACCTAAAGCTAAGTTTGAAAACTTAAAGTTTCTGGACTTTTTAGTCATTTAAAACTGATGTACTGTTTTTTTGTTACTCTTGTCATGTTAAGCCCACCATCATCTCAAATTTGATATGTAGGTTTCTCTTGGTCCTTTATTGGGCATGTTTTCTTTTGAGACTGATTGGATCAACAAATGGATGACTTGTAACTATTTCTCAGAAAGTACTGGATGGATCTTTCTTAAATTTGTTATGTAAGTTCCCCTTGATCCTTAATTGAGCATTTTTACTTTTAAGACTGATGGAATAAACAATATGGTCAACTGTGAGGCAGTCATCTCAGATTTTGATATTTCAAGAACATTATCACCATTTCCTAGCAAGTACTTCACTGATATTTCTCATATTGCAATGATCAGTTCTATTTCTTTAACATACTGTACTAGTAAAAATGTGAAATTACAAGCTCATTTTGAAGGTTGTCTTTTATACACAGCAGTATAAAGTTTAGATCAAAAGTTACCTCAAGGTGCATTACTATTTATGCATAACTGAGATAGACTCAAACAAATAAGAGAAAAAAAGAGAAAAGATGGAACTGACATAGAACTAATGAAGATGGTACAATGGTGGGCACCAAGAAGATGGAACAATGGTGGGCACCAAGAAGATGGTACAATGGTGGGCACCAAGAAGATGGTACAATGGTGGGCACCAAGAAGATGGAATGCAGGCACCAAGAAGATGGTACAATGGTGGGCACCAAGAAGATGAAACAATGGAGGGCACCAAGAAGATGGAACAATGGGGGGCACCAAGAAGATGGAACAATGGTGGGCACCATGAAGATGGAACAATGGTGGGCACCAAGAAGATGGTACGATGGTGGGCACCAAGAAGATGGAACAATGGTGGACACCAAGAAGATGGAACAATGGTGGGCACCAAGAAGATAGGACAAAGGTGGGCACCAAGAAGATGGAACAATGGTGGGGACCAAGAAGATGGAACAATGGTGGGCACCAAGAAGATAGAACAATGGTGGGCACCAAGAAGATGGAACAAGGGTGGGCACCAAGAAGATGGAATGCAGGCACCAAGAGGATGGTACAATGGTGGGCACCAAGAAGATGGAATAATGGTGGTCACCAAGAAGATGGTACGATGGTGGGCACCACGAAGATGGTACAATGGTGTGCACCATGAAGATGAAATGTGGGCACCAAGAAGATGGAATATAGGCACCAAGAAGATGGTACAATGGTGGGCACCACGAAGATGGAACAATGGTGGGCACCAAGAAGAAGGTACAATGGTGGGCACCAAGAAGAAGGGACAATGGTGGGCACCAAGAAGAAGGTACAATGGTGGGCACCGAGAAGAAGGTACAATGGTGGGCACCAAGAAGATGGAATGCAGGCAGCAAGAAGATGGTACAATGGTGGGCACCAAGAACATGGAACAATGGTGGGCACCAAGAAGATGGAACGATGGTGGACACCAAGAAGATGGTACAATGGTGGGCACCACGAAGATGGAACAATGGTGGGCACCAAGAAGAAGGTACAATGGTGGGCACCGAGAAGAAGGTACAATGGTGGGCACCAAGAAGAAGGTACAATGGTGGGCACCAAGAAGAAGGGACAATGGTGGGCACCAAGAAGAAGGTACAATGGTGGGCACCGAGAAGAAGGTACAATGGTGGGCACCAAGAAGAAGGTTCAATGGTGGGCACCAAGAAGAAGGTACAATGGTGGGCACCGAGAAGAAGGTACAATGGTGGGCACCAAGAAGAAGGGACAATGGTGGGCACCAAGAAGAAGGTACAATGGTGGGCACCGAGAAGAAGGTACAATGGTGGGCACCAAGAAGATGGAACAATGGAGGGCACCAAGAAGATTGAACAATGGTGGGCACCAAGAAGATGAGATGTGGGCACCAAGAAGATGGAACAATGGTGGGCCCCAAGAAGATGGAACAATGGTGGGTACCAAGAAGATGGAACAATGGTGGGGACCAAGAAGATGGAACAATGGTGGGCACCAAGAAGATGGCACAATGGTGGGCACCAAGAAGATGGAACAATGGAGGGCACCAAGAAGATTGAACAATGGTGGGCACCAAGAAGATGAGATGTGGGCACCAAGAAGATGGAACAATGGTGGGTGCCAAGAAGAGGGAACAATGGTGGGTACCAAGAAGATGGAACAATGGTGGGTACCAAGAAGATGGAACAATGGTGGGCACCAATAAGATGGAACAATGGTGGGCACCAAGAAGATGAAACAATGGTGGGCACCAAGAAGATGGTACAATTGTGGGCACCAAGAAGATGAAACAATGGTGGGAACCAAGAAGATGGAACAATGGTGGGCACCAATAAGATGGAACAATGGTGGGCACCAATAAGATGGAACAATGGTGGGCACCAATAAGATGGAACAATGGTGGGCACCAATAAGATGGAACAATGGTGGGCACCAATAAGATGGAACAATGGTGGGCACCAAGAAGATGGAACAATGGTGGGCACCAAGAAGATGGAACAATGGTGGACACCAAGAAGATGGTACAATGGTGGGCACCAAGAAGATGAAACAATGGTGGGCACCAAGAAGATGGAACAATGGTGGGCACCAAGAAGATGGTACAATGAATCAGCTAGCCAAGAATTTCTACCAAGTTACTAATACAGATGAGGGAAAGAATCAGCTAGCCAAGAATTCCTACCAAGTTACTAATACAGATGGGGGAAACAATCAGCTAGCCAAGAATTTCTACCAAGTTACTAATACAGATGGGGGAAACAATCAGCTAGCCAAGAATTTCTACCAAGTTACTAATACAGATGGGGGAAACAATCAGCTAGCCAAGAATTTCTACCAAGTTACTAATACAGATGGGGGAAACAATCAGCTAGCCAAGAATTTCCACCTAGTTACTAATACAAATGGGGGAAAGAATCAGCTAGCCAAGAATTTCCCCCAAGTTACTAATACAGATGGGGAAACAATCAGCTAGCCAAGAATTTCTACCAAGTTACTCATACATTTGGGGGAAACAATCAGCTAGCCAAGAATTTCTACCAAGTTACTAATACAGATGGGGGAAACAATCAGCTAGCCGAGAATTTCCCCCTAGTTACTAATACAGATGGGGGGGGGGGGAGATAGCTAGACAATAATTTCACCCTAGTTACTAATACAGGGAGGGAGAAAGGATAAACTATTCAATAAATCCTCCTATTCACTTACACAGATGGGAGAAAGAATCAGCTTGCCAATAGTTTTCCCCTACTAACAAATACAGAGAGGGTAAAGTATTGGTTAGCCAATAATATCCCCCATAAACCAATACTATGTGTGGAAATAATTATCTAGCTAATTTCTTACACTGGGGAAAACATTAAATAGGGGGGATTAAGAATCAACTAGCCTATTTCTTTCCTGGGGAAATAATTTTTGGCAGTAATATGACTGTACAATTATGAAGATACAGTAAAATATATTTTTTTGTTCACAATTAAAAAAATAAATCTTTTTATTGACAGACCAATCATGATTCGACTACATTCATACCAGTACATTTCTGAATTAGTCAGTGTGTTTCCATGTACCGGTAGCTATTGATTATTCACAAAGATTGACCAAATTTCGTTTCTTTTCGTGTCAGAGAACGATCTCATACCAAGTCAAAATGGCGGATATTACATGGGACGATTTTTTAGTGAGATCAAAATATTTGAAATAAAAAGCGTGAAAAATGGGTCCCAGGCCATGAGATATTTTGGAAGACTGTTTCTCATGAGTCTCACGCCAAAATCGTTAGATATGGCATGTATGCTAAATAGAGCTTGATCAGACATTTTCTTTCTTTCTCTTCAGATTTACAAGTGTGTATTTAATATCACACATTATACATCACAACATATAGGAGACTGACACAAAACAGGAAATATGAATAATGTAGAGAATAAATACTGACACACTGTTAAGTCCTCATACTGATGTTTTACAGTCCTGTAAATAACCACTCATCTGTACTAGACAACAACAGACACAAGGACATTGACAGTATGCACCAGTACTATTGATGTCGTTGAGACAGAAGTAGGTACTAGCGTGAAGACATTCTTACCTTGGCTTGTAGACAGGAGTACATAGGAGTTTAACATATGATAAAGTCACATTCTGTTTACTGTTTTGGACATGTTTTCTCTCAGGCAAAAGCTTGTTTGGTGTATAGAAAGGAATGGTTCATCAATGACTAAAGCAAGGCTTGCAGAACATATAAATATTTTATTAAATTCTATCATGTCCTTTATCAATCTTACCTTATTATCAGCACTTCTGATAAAAGTTTCCAGGATAAATCTGAGACTAGTCTATAGATTGTAACAGGTAATTAGGGCCTGCTATTTTCTGTCCAGAAAACTAAGACACAATTTAGCACAGTACTATGGTCTCCAGCTCAGTGTTAATCTAAGGTCATGTCTAGCCATACATGTATAGCTAAAACCCACCGCTCACAAAGCCTTGCTGAATTTTGTATCTACCGTCATCAGAATTCAGGGCTGGCCTTACACAATGCTATCTGGTACCCTCATTAAGTCTCACTGGAATTGTGATAACTTTTTATACTATTACATGTTGTTTCAGACTGAGGAAGTTTAAGACCCATCCAGACAAGACTTTGTAGTGTAATACTATCACATGTAATAGGGTGTGTAGGTATTTGAGAGTTAAGTTGAGCCTAGGTGATATGCCTTCCCAGCTGTTCCACACAAAGTAAAGCCTTTTTTGGTGTTCTAGTTGCATTCACGATTTTTTAACGGATTTCAATCTCAGTTGGCTTTAAAAGCAGCGATCTGTCCTCGTCGAGGGATTACATTCTGCCCACCTTTCCTAACCTGCTGTCAGTTTTGGGGTTAGCTGTGATGGACTGCACCCCCACTATAGCAGCATTGATCTGTGTCTGTAGATCTCTCAAGTCCTTTATATGTAATAACCGAACAATTTTGGCAGCTTCATTGATGATATAATCTGTAAAACATAAGCATCACACTTAAAAGACTATTACAAACATATAAAAAAAAATGGTGCTGTTTGTATGGTTGAAAAACAAATTTAAATGAATTTATCAACTTTAAACATAAAAAATGTTATATAAAAATAATATTTAGTGCATCAATATTAGTATCATAAATTTCAAAGAGGGACATTCTAGCTCAATAATAATTTGGTCAGGGACATTCTAGCTCAATAATAATTTGGTCAGGGACAATCTAGTAATTTGGATTTACTGTAGTCAGTGGGTTAACAACAGCCTATTCCAGCATGAATTGGGAAATTTAGTTTTAATTTTATTTGGGAAAATATACCCCATTTTTTTATTTTTTGGGGGGAAAATAAAGCACTATTTTAAAGAAAGCAGTCTGAATTCAGCTGTAGAACTTGGCAAAAGGTTACTGAAAACCTGATTTCCTCTTAAAAACAAAAGACAACTTACCTCCTGTTTCAAATCCTAGTTCTGTTTTATCTAATGGTACTTGTACTCCCTGTAAAACAAATAAGTTATTAGTGAGTTAATTAACTACTGTGGCACTATGGATCTCAGTTGTATTTACCTGAAGATTAATCCTAGGGCATAGTAAGTCCCCTCTATGGCCTAAGGAAAAACATTTCAGTAAACTCTTAATCTTAAGCATTGATGTTTTTTTATTGATATATATATGGAAACTGGGACAGGTTACAGAGAAACAATATGTTTTGATGTATTATTGAATTAATATCTTGTAATAATGATATAGGTATCTCCTAATAACAACTTTCTTAATAATGACTTACTATCATATAAAAACGACTTACTATCTCATTAAACAAATGTAACAACCTACTATCACCTAATAATGACATAGCTATATGATTAAATTCATCATTACTACATAGCTATATTATTAAATTCATCATTACTACATAGCTATATTATTAAATTCATCATTACTACATAGCTATATGATTAAATTCATCGTTACTACATAGCTATATCATTAAATTCATCATTACTACATCGCTATATCATTAAATTCATCATTACAACATAGCTACATCATTAAACTCATCATTATAACATTAGCTATGATTTTCTTTTGTCAGCGACCCGTACTGGGTTCTGTAGATCTTTATAAGCTATGTCAAGTAAGAATACCAGAGCTACAACAGCACGATCATAAAGGAGATTTTTTTAAAATTAAACAACTGCTTTTGCCTGTATTGTTCCATCCTAATCTCTAAAACATTACTTTTTTGGGCAATCATGCACATGTAACTTAAACATAACATAGTTTTTGGTATCCTATTTTAAAACTACCCTGATTGTACCATCTTAATCTATAAAACTGTACCCTGTTTGTACCATCTTAATCTATAAAACTGTAGCCTGGTTGTACCATCTTAATTAATAAAACTGTACCCTGGTTGTACCATCTTAATCTATAAAACTGTACCCTGGTTGTACCATCTTAATTAATAAAACTGTACCCTGGTTGTACCATCTTAATCTATAAAACTGTACCCTGGTTGTACCATCTTTATCCATAAAATTGTACACTGGTTGTACCATCTTAATCTATAAACTGTACCCTGGTTGTACCATCTCAATCTATAAAACTGTACCCTGGTTGTACCATCTTAATCTATAAAACTTTTCCCTGGTTGTACCATCTTAGTCTATAAAACTGTACACTGGTTGTACCATCTTAATCTATAAAACTGGACCTTGGTTGTACCATCTTAATCTATAAAACTGTACCCTGGTTGTACCATCTTAATCTATAAAACTGTACCCTGGTTGTACCATCTTAATCTATAAAACTGTACCCTGGTTGTACCATCTTAATCAATAAACTGTACCCTGGTTATACCATTTAATCTATAAAACTGTACCCTGGTTGTACCATCTTTATCAATAAACTGTACCCTGGTTGTACCATCTAAATCTATAAAACTGGACCCTGGTTGTACCATCTTAATCAATAAACTGTACCCTGGTTATACCATTTAATCTATTTAAACTGTACCCTGGATGTACCATCTTAATCAATAAACTGTACCTTTGGTTGTACCATCTTAATCAATAAACTGTACCTTTGGTTGTACCATCTAAATCTATAAAACTGGAACCTGGTTGTACCATCTTAATCAATAAACTGTACCTTTGGGTGTACCATCTTAATCTATAAAACTGTACCCTGATTGTACCATCTTAATCTATAAAACTGTACCCTGGTTGTACCATCTTAATCAATAAACTGTACCCTGGTTGTACCATCTAAATCTATAAAACTGGACCCTGGTTGTACCATCTTAATCAATAAACTGTATCCTGGTTATACCATTTAATCTATTTAAACTGTACCCTGGATGTACCATCTTAATCAATAAACTGTACCCTGGGTATACCATTTAATCTATAAAACTGTACCCTAGTTGTACCATCTTAATCAATAAACTGTCCCTTTGGTTATACCATTTAATCTATAAAACTGGACCCTAGTTGTACCATCTTAATCAATAAACTGTCCCTTTGGTTATACCATTTAATCTATAAAACTGGACCCTAGTTGTACCATCTTAATCAATAAACTGTACATTTGGTTATACCATTTAATCTATAAAACTGGACCCTAGTTGTACCATCTTAATCAATAAACTGTCCCTTTGGTTATACCATTTAATCTATAAAACTGGACCCTAGTTGTACCATCTTAATCAATAAACTGTACCCTAGTTGTACCATCTTAATCAATAAACTGTACCTTTGGTTATACCATTTAATCTATAAAACTGGACCCTAGTTGTACCATCTTAATCAATAAACTGTACCTTTGGTTGTACCATCTAAATCTATAAAACTGGACCCTGGTTGTACACTGTACCATCTTAATCAATAAACTGTACCTTTGGTTGTACCATCTTAATCAATAAACTGTACCTTTGGTTATACCATTTAATCTATAAAACTGTACCCTAGTTGTACCATCTTAATCAATAAACTGTACCCTAGTTGTACAATCTTAATCAATAAACTGTACCTTTGGTTGTGATGTTGCTTTCTGTAATGCCTCCTTTGACAGCCTGTTTTTAACCAATAAACAAATGGCCTGAAAATATGAAAAGCTCGCTAAATGACAACTCCATTTCAGAATATAAATGTGTTTCTTGTTGTAACAATTACATGGATTGCATTTGAATGATTTTTATTTGAAATACAACAAACAACAGAACTGCAAACAATGCCTACATAGTGTTAACTGTCATCTAGCATGGTTATCAAACATGTCTTACATTGAAACAATGCCTACATAGTGTTAACTGTCATCGAGCGTGGTTATCAAACATGTCTTACATTAAAACAATGCCTACATAGTGTTAACTGTCATCTAGCGTGGTTATCAAACATGTCTTACATTAAAACAATGCCTACATAGTGTTAACTGTCATCTAGCGTGGTTATCAAACATGTCTTACATTAAAACAATGCCTACATAGTGTTAACTGTCATCTAGCGTGGTTATCAAACATGTCTTACATTAAAACAATGCCTACATAGTGTTAACTGTCATCTAGCGTGGTTATCAAACATGTCTTACATTAAAACAATGCCTACATAGTGTTAACTGTCATCTAGCGTGGTTATCAAACATGTCTTACATTAAAACAATGCCTACATAGTGTTAACTGTCATCTAGCGTGGTTATCAAACATGTCTTACATTAAAACAATGCCTACATAGTGTTAACTGTCATCTAGCGTGGTTATCAAACATGTCTTACATTAAAACAATGCCTACATAGTGTTAACTGTCATCTAGCGTGGTTATCAAACATGTCTTACATTAAAACAATGCCTACATAGTGTTAACTGTCATCTAGCGTGGTTATCAAACATGTCTTACATTAAAACAATGCCTTCATAGTGTTAACTGTCATCTAGTGTGGTTATCAAACATGTCTTACATTAAAACAATGCCAACATAGTGTTAACTGTCATCTAGCGTGGTTATCAAACATGTCTTACATAAAAACAATGCCTATATAGTGTTAATTGTCATCTAGCATGGTTATCAAACATGTCTTACATAAAAACAATGCCTACATAGTGTTAACTGTCATCTAGCGTGGTTATCAAACATGTCTTACATAAAACAATGCCTATATAGTGTTAATTGTCATCTAGCATGGTTATCAAACATGTCTTACATTGAAACAATGCCTACATAGTGTTAACTGTCATCGAGCGTGGTTATCAAACATGTCTTACCTTAAGCTGTTCTAAGTGGTCAGCATGGGGAGGTACTTTGAGAATCATGGAAAGGGAGGCAACTCCTGCTTTAAAATCAGCATCATTGACTGGAAACCGAAATCAGTTACGTTTATCATATCACAATATAAAACTTCTTGCACTAATATTTTGCCTGTCTACTAGTACTTTTTGGTCATGAAGGTATTGCAATGTACAAAATATAAAAGGTTACACAGACATTTAAAAAACTAGAAAATGTCCGTAAGACATAAATGCCCCCGCTGCCATGTGAAATTAGTTTCAGTGTTCTATAAAAAGTTACAACCACTTTGATTTTGATTCCCTGAAACATGCACACACACAAGTTACTACACTTAAAGTTGATTTTAATATTCATATGTTTTTTCTGTATGTTATTACCATCTCCATAACATATTAAATGAAGTTGCTAAGTGTTTAAATTGAATCAGTAGATGATTTTCTATATATAGCAACAGTGTCCTTGGCCTTGACCTTGGAACCCTGAAACACAACAATGTCCGAATTATACTCATACTTGACCTTTGCATTAAGTTTGACAAAAATCCATGAAAGAATGAAGTTGCTAAGTGTTTAAAATGAACCAGTTGATGATTTTCTATATATAGAAAGTGTGACCTTGGCCTTGACCTTGGATCCCTGAAATACAACATGTCATAAGTATACTCATACTTGACCTTTGTATAAAGTTTGACCAAAATCTGTAGTATACTCATACTTGACCTTTGTATAAAGTTTGAGGACAGGACAGGATGTGACGATTTTCTATATATAGCAAGCATGACCTTGGCCTTGACCTTGGATCCCTGAAATACAACATGTCATAAGTATACTCATACTTGACCTTTGTATAAAGTTTGACCAAAATCTGTCAAGAATGAAGTTGCTAAGTGTTTACATTGAATCGGGACGGGACGGACGGACGGACATGGGTAACACTATATGCCCCCCCATTTTATGGCGGGGGCATAAAAATTGCACTAGACCACATTGTGTTTGTATTTTTCCTTTGTGTTTTAATATCATCAGTACAAAAAACTACCTGTAAATACAAAGTTCATGTACAATTATTTTACAAAACAAAACAATCAATCACAAAACATTACATTGTTCATTACACAGATTACTTAAGTGAAGATTGAAGCCAATCCTTGAAGCTGAGAGCAATTGGCCATTTTCAGTCAATGTCAAAAATTAGAGGGGTCATTAGAAATTAAATTTAAATAAAAAAATGGAAACTTGCAGGCTAATTTCAGTCCTAAACCCCCTCAAGCATATTCCTGCATAGCTGCACAGAGTGCTCACAGGGGGTGTCGTAGAATATAACAGGGATGGAGAGATACCATATGAGTTAATTATAATCTGATGTTAATAAGTACAAGATCATATGGAACAACTTAAGTTAACTGCTGTCAGGATCATTAATTGGCAGACGAGCTACAGAAGGTCTATGATCTGTGGATGTGATCGCAGTCTTAGTCTGTTGTTGGACAGAGATTGGTCAAGTAGTTTGTTTACACTTGAGCAAGCTACATTAAGCAGAGTTTAAATAATGCAAAAAGGCTGATGTGTTTTCTGATAAGTTACAACACAGGTATCCAGAGATTTCATACCTGTAGCAGAAAAAATGTCAGATTGTTTATTTTCAACAGAACTGAACTATTCACCAATTAAAAAAGGGGTATTTGAGAGCTACACATTCACAAATGCACTTTGATATAAATACTTTGTGACACCAATCAAAAGAATGGATAGTTATTAGGACAAGTATTGGCAGGCATCAATGAGAGTGATTAAGTGATCAGGGAATTTACAAACCAGCTGGATAACTCCTAACCAGTTTTCAGGATGCCATATTTTTTTAACAATGCCCATAATTAAGGTATCATTATTAAACCGTTTTAGTCCTTTCCACATTATTCTTTTAAAATAACCATGGTTTACAAAATTGTTGATTTCTTTACATTTTCTTATTTCATCTGAGCACATCCTTAACAAGGTTGTACCTTCATTTTGTTTCAACAAAACTGAATGTTATAAAAACAATAAGATTAGGTATCAGGTTGAGCCTATGGACATCCTCTCCTGTCCCATAAAACATACATTGTGTGCTAAAAAGTGAACATAAATTGTTGTACTGTAACAGGTTAATAGGGAAGAACATAAGAGTATCTGTAATCGAGGATAACAGGATATATCAATATGATTTATCAACTAGAACAATGACACCTCAGGAAGGGCCCAGCTGATATACTAGAACAATGACACCTCAGGAAGGGCCCAGCTGATAAACTAGAACAATGACACCTCAGGAAGGGCCCAGCGAATAAACTAGAACAATGACACCTCAGGAAGGGTCCAGCTGATAAACTAGAACAATGACACCTCAGGAAAGGCCCAGCTGATAAACTAGAACAATGACACCTCAGGAAGGGCCCAGCTGATAAACTAGAACAATGACACCTCAGGAAGGATCCAGCTGATAAACTAGAACAATGACACCTCAGGAAGGGTCCAGCTGATAAACTAGAACAATGAAACCTCAGGAAGGGCCCAGCTGATAAAATAGAACAATTACACCTCAGGAAGGGTCCAGCTGATAAACTAGAACAATGACAGCTCAGGAAGGGTCCAGCTGATAAACTAAAAAAATGACACCTCAGGAAGGGCCCAGCTGATAAACTAGAATAATGACACCTCAGGAATGGCCCAGCTGATAAACTAGAACAATGACAACTCAGAAAAGGCCTAGCTGCTAAACTAGAACAATGACACCTCAGGAAGGACCCAGCTGATAAACTAGAACAATGTCACCTCAGGAAGGGCCCAGCTGATAAACTATAAAAATGACACCTCAGGAAGGGTCTAGCTGATAAACTAGAACAATGACACCTTAGGAAGGACCCAGCTGATAAACTAGAACAATGACTCCTCAGGAAGGGCCCAGCTGATAAACAACAACAATTACACCTCAGGAAAGGCCTAGCTGATAAACTAGAACAATGACACCTCTGGAAGGGCTTAGCTGATAAACTAGAACAATGACACCTCAGGAATGGCCCAGCTGATAAACTAGAACAATGACAGCTCCGGAAGGGTCCAGCTGATAAACTAAAAAAATGACACCTCAGGAAGGGCCCAGCTGATGTTAAAACTAAAACAATGACACTTCATGAAGGGCCTAGCTGATATTAAAACTAGAACAATGACACCTCAGGAAAGGCCTAGCTGATAAACTAGAACAATGACACCTCAGAAAGGGTCCAGCTGATAAACTAGAACAATGAAACCTCAGGAAGGGCCCAGCTGATAAACTAGAACAATGACCCCTCAGGAAGGGCCTAGCTGATATTAAAACTAGAACAATGACACCTCAGGAAAGGCCTAGCTGATAAACTAGAACAATGACACCTTAGGAAGGGCCCAGTTGATGTTAAAACTAAAACAATGACACCTCGGGAAGGGCCTAGCTGATAAACTAGAACAATGACACCTTAGGAAGGGCCCAGTTGATGTTAAAACTAAAACAATGACACCCCAGGAAGGGCCCAGCTGATAAACTATAACAATGACACCTCAGGAAGGACCCAGCTGATAAACTAGAACAATGTCACCTCAGGAAGGGCCCAGCTGATAAACTACAACAATGACACCTCAGGAAGGGCCCAGCTGATAAACAACAACAATGACACCTCAGGCAGGGCCCAGCTGATAAACTAGAAAAATGACACCTCAGGAAGGGTCTAGCTGATAAACTAGAACAATGACACCTTAGGAAGGACCCAGCTGATAAACTAGAACAATGACACCTCAGGAAGGGCCCAGCTGATAAACTAGAACAATGACACCTCAGGAAGGGCCCAGTTGATGTTAAAACTAAAACAATGACACCTCATGAAGGGCCTAGCTGATATTAAAACTAGAACAATGACACCTCAGGAAGGGCCCAGCTGAGGTTAAAACTAAAACAATGACACCTCAGGAAGGGCCTAGCTGACTACTTATTGTAAACCTGTGTGATGTGCATATCTAACTGGGAACACATGAAACTAATTAATTTTCCAAGAAATTTTTGTTTGTAAGTTAGAATTAAACAACAAACTAGTGTCATTATTTTATGTACTTAAGTAAAATGTTATGAAGTAATGTAATAAATTTATTCATTTAATTATAACTAATTCCTAATAAAAATTACAACAACAAACAAACAAACAAAACATTCCAAATAAGGATTATATGAGTATACCGGAGGCTTTATTCAGGGAAGCTTAACAAGGATGTTTGTTAATTGGAAATGATCCAAAATGAAATATACAAAACAATTTGAAGGTAATTTCATACATCGCTCACATAACAAGGCTAGATGTAAATTTAACATATGGTATGTTTCTACAGAAAACAAGATTTACCTCCCAAGGTATTAACAAGAGCTGATGGGGAACAGCATAGCTTGCCTATTGGTGATATATGTTGTGAGATAGCAAATATCAATAGAACACATGTACATTAAAACCTTGATATAATGGTCGTCATTTCATTTGCCACCTCCCTTACCGCCAATATATTTTCAGGTCCCTTATATCGTGTTTTTCTTAAGAGTTCCTTAACACGTTTCCCTCAATTTATTGCCAAACCCCTTTATAATGCCAATATTTCTTTGAACAAATGGTGGCAATATAACAAGGTTTTGCTGTACCTTAACATATTGTACATTTGAAAAGATGAGACGACCAGACAACGTGAAATAGTCAACAGTGTATTGATGGGGATGACCAATCTGACACTGCACAAAATCTTTAACCAAGTCCAGTTAAGCTGTTTTTGGCCCTTAATATGAAAATATGGTTCAGAACATTGCTAGCACTCCATATAAATACTTCAACCTTATAATAGACAACAGCCTATTGATAGTGGTTGTCCGACACTCCATATAAAAACTTGCCCAAAAACTTTAACCTTAGTGAAGTGGGACGCTGACACCAGGTTGACTACATTAGTCCCCTCATTCTCCGAATAGGCAAGCTAAAAACCACATGCACACATACAAAAACACACACAAATATGGTAATCAAAATGTCCATTATGGTGGTCATAATTTCATAAATCTAACATGCTTTAATAACATTGGCCCAGTTAAATAGTTTGGTTTGATTTATAGATGAAATAGGTTTTCAAGATGGCCACCATGTTTCACAATTTTGTTTCCATTTTGCCCAAGGATATTTTACCACATATCTCATTAGAATCGGTTGATGTGGTTTCGATAAGAAGTTGAATATTGATGATGAATGGCAATACAGTACATCACTTGGGCTTTTGGCTCCAGTGACCTAAAATAATTATACAGTACAGGATATTTGTATTTTAAAACAATAACTTACAGTCCAAGTTGTCCAGTGGGTTTGTAGATTTAGCAGGTGCAGCAGCACTCGACTTCACAGTGTCTGGTGTTACACTCTTGTACTGATCAACTGTGGATAGAAAACTTGTTTAAATTATTCAGCAAAATGTAATTGATTTTTAAGCACAATGATCACATAAGTACATTAAAACAGATTTGTTTTGATGAATGAAGTTTATTGCATACTTTTTATTTGTCATAAAATCAACTCACCAGATTCTCCATAATCCAGACGAATCGCATAGCCCAGCAACCAGTCTATTAAAATTGTCCGTTCAGCCTGCTGGTAGGAACAACCAAGTTCTTCCAGATACTGAAATAAACAGTCAACCATGTTATATGCATGTAAAGACCAGAGAACTTGACTGAATTACCAGTCATACCAATATGCCATGAAATCTTAAAACCTTGGCACTGACATTCTGACCGTTTTTCTGAAATGAATAGCTTAAATCTTACAAAGTAGAGATACTTCCCCTGAAGTGATATCAATGGTTATAAAAGGAAGAAGCATGAACATTAAAAAATTACTTATATATATTTTGATATAAAATGAAAACATGATTTTACACTTTGTAGAGCTTTTGACCAGTCAGCCCCATTCATGTTCCTTAGACCGGTTCTGTCCTCAATCTTGTAATGACGAATTTTCTGGTCTTCTAGCCACACTATTAGGTTCCTGAACTCATTTTCATCTAAAATAAAGATTTACAGAGCGTGATACAACCTTCATTCATGTAACGATGTGCTTGTACATCACTTACTGGAAACAAATTATATCTAAATGTTCAGCTGTATAATGATTCACTGACATCTTTGTCTTTTATTTATATCAATAGATTTTTTTCTTTCTGTTCAACAGACTAAATTTCAAACTACTGTAAAAACATAATATTTCGTTGGGGATTTAATTTAATTTACTTTATTTCGTGGTTAAAAAAAAAACATGAAATATAATCCCAATGTAATTTTAAACACAAAAAAATTAAAATGATTGAATATCTTAAATAGACTTTTAGGTATATACTTGTATTACAAATCCATGTTGTGTTTACATTTAGACCTAAGTCATAATTAACAGTGTAATAATCGTCACAGGCACAGGTAGACACTTATAATAACAGCGAGTCAATCAAGCGTTATATTCGTAACACAGTTATTGTTACACAGGTAACGTCAGTACATGTCAATATTTTAGGTGATTGTAACCATTTCAGAAGAGACCTGTTTCTCGTCAGCTATCGTAAGGGACAGATACATCGATGTGAGTCTAGCTATACAAAGTATACATTATGTGTATATCGCTCCTTGTATATAAGCTATAGAGTGAGACGGATTAGACCAATACCCATCGAGTGAGTAAATCTCGCCAATCTTACATGTACTTAACTAATCAATATATTATGTTTGTACGTTGTACGTTGCACGTTGCAGGTAGCAGTCATCCTTAAGATTAATGAATTTGATAGAAGGAAGATGTTAATTCTCATTTATGACTGCTACCTCTGAAATCCACATATTTTTTTTGATTAAAGGGCTAGATTTACTGTGTCGTCAAGTCTGTCAATTAAAAACTTCTTAGTTACCAGAAAAAAATACAGGGTTTTAAAACATTGATTCCCCAAAATATAATCCCAATGTGTGCTCAAAGACGGGTCTATTAATCTAAACCCACTTATAGTTCATTTATGATATATGACAGACACAGGAGATATCTTATTCCATTGGCTAGTACAGGGTTGATTAACAACAAAATTTCTACAGAACAAAAGCTTGGTTTTTGATATGAACTGAACTGCACTGGATCATGTAATCTAATACCCACATCTCATAATACGATATTCTACTCAATATTTTAGCAGGTGGTGGCATACTTATACATGCTAGAAACTTGTAACGCACACAATTCGAGATATCTCCTGTTGAACAATCAACATGGTTTTCACTTAGCTAAGAGTAAAAATTCATGTGTTTTGCTTTCAGTGCTGTGACTTATTAATTTTTTTGATATCTATTCCCATCATCAATATGTATATAGGCTAAGCCTGTTGTCTCATCCAATTGTTCAATTGTTTTTGTACAATAAAATTTGTTGAAATGTGAAATCAAGTTGTATACTTGTTTTAAGAAATGTCCTCTAGTAAACAGCTATTTTAGATCTACAACCACATACTTCAAAACTCAGTTATCGGGTTGGGGAAAACCACTAACTTGTGTATAATATACAAACTTGCCTATTATTCGCCAATTGGGGTATGGATTTGTTACTAAAAACAGCCAAAATCACTTTAATCTAAGTAGCCAACACTTTCAGTTAACATCTTTTAGCAAAATATTTTTTACCTTGTCGTAAATAAATGCGATTTTTAATGATATATTGCAAAAGTTACTGTTAAAGCGATTTGGGTTATTTTTCAGTAACACATCCATACTCCAACTGGCGTATAATAGGAGAGATTGCGTTTTTTCCCCAACCTGGTTATTTATCTTTTTTTGGAGTAAGTTCTTGCTGTGGTTATTTTTGGTGTGTCTTGAGATGTGTTTTTAGTGATACATGTAGTCGTGTTGGAAGAAAATGGAAGAACACACATTATCAGCAGCCACATCATCCGCTCATATGACACCTCTGCAGGCTCAAGGAAAGAACAGATTTTATGGTTCATCTTGAAAAGGTATATTTTATTTTAAATCTACAGAACTTAGCTAAACTGCACACAGCTTATCGGTCGACGACCTCAGAAATGTGGGGTGGCCGGCGTAAGTCTAATACAGCGTACACCGTACCGTATGCCCACAGGGGCTTGTATAGACTTATATGTATAATGATAAAATTATCTTGAAATACTATATATATTTATGTGTGTGTATGTCAAGCTAATTTATAACAAGCCCCTGTGGTATGCCGGTCTCTGGTAGAATCTGTTTCAATAAAAAATAAAAGACCTAGTGATTTAACTTACTATCGTGGTCGAAAGAATCTGCTTGCTGATACTCTAACGCGCATAGTTTCCGTCTGAACATAGTCTGATACAAATGAAAGCGTAAGCAGAAATATTGCTTGAGTTGCGTTTCACGTTTCGGATGAAATCAGGAAGTACAAGGGAGCTAACTCTGAATTACTTTAGGCAATACTTTTTTGGAACGGATTGAGATTTACCACTTCTCTGGATTAACTACACACGGATCATGTCCGTCAGGTCAATTTTATTATTGGATAAATAAAACGGACATCAAGTTTTAATTTCATTGAATCCAACTCCAGAAAAACAAATGGTTTCAAAACATATTAGAAAAGTATAGTCACTAAATTCGTTATACTAGTTGTACCACTTGAAAAGTGTATTTAACATCAGAGACGTATAAAACACGTAATATACGCCTCTGCTAACACTGACAGAGAAGCTTAGTTGAAAATTGGCTTTGATACACAACACATAAACTTGCCGGCAATATTCACATAAAATAATGAAGTAAATAATATACAATGTTATAGTTACAATGTAGTACACATCAGGGATGTGTAGTGGACTACACTACACGTGCACATCCCTGTACAAATGACAGCCCTACAACATTATAAAATGTACACAAAAATTTACATAGAACGGCCTGGTTGTTCAATTACCTATTTGAGTAACAATTTTATTGCTGTAATGAGGAATAAAGTTTATCAACTAAATCCAAAAAATAACACAATGAAGTGCATTTGTACATTGTGTACATAAAATTATCAAATCTGATGTCAAACTATATTACTGACTTTGGTCTCCATCGACTTCAGTGTGTAGACAGTGGGGTAACCAGTATAATGTGTGTGTATTCATGAGTTAGAGCTGCTTTAGCGTTGTATTATTAAAATAGTTTTCTTATATCACACTGCATGGCAAAAGAGACGAGTTTGCACGGGGTTTTTTTATTATATAAAGCAGGGTGTGTCATATTTCTGTAATATTTACCTAACACAGAATTAGTCTACTGATTACGCGTCTGTTAACCTATCCTCCGCCCTCCTCCACTTTTCGATTCCCCAGATCATCTATCGAGATTTTTTTTTACAATCTATCCTCTTTCACCTCTCCATCGTACCTCCAATGTCTGCCATCGTCCTTTCTCGAGACTTGTCAATATAACTTGTCCTCCTTTCTCAATAAATAAAGCATGTTGGGATTATAAGCATAGGTAACCGACTTTCCGGATTACTTAGAGGCGCTACCGTACCTAATATCGTAATTTTGAGTTAAACTGTTGAGTGTTTATATCTGTGGAAAGCTTGACATTCGCTCCTAATTCCGTGCTACTGGCATTAAATATTAGATATATGATTTACTTTCCGGTGATCTAATGATCATAACGCTAGGACACAAATGTACAAATAATGCGGCTCCTTGTGACATCGAGTACAATACGACACAACAGTTGACAGCGACCACCGAACTCTTCAAGAAATTCTTCGTTCTTAGGGGAAAGCTATGTCACCCATGAGGTCACATCCCTTTCACCAGCAGCAGAAAAGGTATAGGTACACGTTTTATCGGTTTTAACGTTAACCATGAGAATCAAACTAACAGCCTAAAAGTTGCATACACAAATGTGGACATACTCTCTCTCTCTCTCTCTCTCTCTCTCTCTCTCTCTCTCTCTCTCTCTCTCTCTCTCTCTCTCTCTCTCTCTCTCTCTCTCTCTCTCTCGAAAAAGGTGAAATTGGAAGGAACCAAATAAACCCAGCCATTATATGTCTAACAGAAATCTTACCGAAGTTTACGAGACAACATCTAGACAAGCACATTTACCAAATTGATAACTATCAAGCATTCTTTGGAACTTTCTCAAATCATCTATTACATGTGAAGAAGTAAGATGGGATATATCCTTTGATGAATATGTTTGTTGTATAATATATCTAGCCAAGAGAGAAACTCTCACAATAGCTTGTGTTTATAGAAGCCCCAACAGTGTGGACACAAATAAATCTTCACTACTTGAATTTGTAAGAAACCTGTATGACTCCAAACCGACTCATCTACTTATAGTGGGTGATTTCAACATGAAAGAAATAAACTGGCTTACCAACTCAACATCCACATAGCAACACGATTTCTAGAAAAAGTCCGTGACTGCTTCCTGTTCCAACATGTAGAACAACCAACTAGACAAAGAGATGGACAGACCCTATCGTTGCTAGACCTCATTTTCACCAACGAGGAAGAAATGATGAGGGAATTAACCTACAATCCAAGTATAGGAAAAAGTGATCATCTTTTATTGTCCTTAGAATTAACATGTAAAACAATAACACCAATCCTCAATTTCAACAAACCCAACTTTCACAAAGGAGACTATAATGCCATCAGAGATATAATCTCAGAACTAAACACCAACAGTCTCACATTAACTGATAGTACAACTGATTATTGGAACTACTTTGCTGTATATCTAAAAAATCTAGCGAGAGAATGTATACCAGTGAGTAAAGCAAGAACAAGAACCACGACAAAACCGTACATCAACAGAGACTCCTTAAATGCAATAAGAACTAAACACAAAAATTGGCTCAAGTACATCCACTGTAAAACACCAGAGAACTACAAAGAATTCAAATCTGCAAGGAATCGAGCAACTTTTACTGTTCGCAAATCTCTTCAAAACTACGAAAAAAATATAACAGAAAACATAACCTCAAATGTTCCACCATTCTGGAAATATGTGAGATCCAAAACAAAATCCAAAATTTCAATAACCAGGATTATAGGACCAAACAATGAGCTAACCACTTTAGATGTTGAAACAGCTAATGTTCTGAACGAGTATTTTGTAAGCGTCTTTGTAGAAGATGGAAACATTGAATTACCAGATGGTTTACATCATAAATTTTTCTTTGAAACATCTAACCAGATCTCTGAACCTCTCAGAATCATCTTCAACAAATCCATCCAGGAATCTGAACTACCATCAGAATGGAAGAGCACATGTTTGTCCAATACACAAAAAAGACTCGACCAAACAAGCGAAAACAATTGGCCAATTAGTTTGACCTCTGTTCCCTGTAAATTGCTTCACCGCATTTTTAGAGACAAAATTCTGCAACACCTGAACAATTATAGCTTGTTCACCAGAAATCAAATCCTGGAGGTTCTGGAAGACTGGGCAACTGCCATGGATGAGGGGGCCAATACAGATGTCATCTACCTAGACTTCTGTAAGGCCTTTGATAAGGTCTCGCACAGGCTACTTCTACACAAACTAGAAGCATTGTAGGTAAAGTCAGCAACTGGATACGGAAATACCTGACAAATCTGAAACAAAGAGTTGTTATCAATGGAACCTTATCGAGAGTACAGAATGTGACAAGCGGGGTCCCCCAGGGAAGTGTTATCGAGCCGATTTTGTTTCTCATTTATGTTAATGATATGCCAGAATCAGTTAACTGTATAATGAAGCTATTTGCAAATGATACAAAAATATACTCAAGTATATCTACACCACAGGATAGGTTAGAGCTACAAATTAACACCAACAAAGTGTGTGAATGGACTGAGAGGTGGCTCATGAAATTAAATTTAGAGAAATGCAAACACTTGGAAATTGGTAACACATCCAGCAATAGCCAGTACAACTTCACAAACGAAGGAGTCACAACCATGATTGTAAAAAACAGACAAGGTGAGAGACCTCGGAGTGTAAAAACAGACAGGGAGAGACCTCGGAGTGTAAAAACAGACAGGGAGAGACCTCGGAGTGACATTCAATAAACAGCTCAAATTTAGCGAACATGTGTCTGCAGCCGTCTTCAAAGGAAACAGAATGTTAGGAATTATTTTTAGAACATTTACATTTCTAAATCAATCAACATTCCTTTTATTATATAAATCACTTGTCAGACCTCATGTTGAGTATTGCTCCACAATATGGTCACCCCTCCTAAAGAAAGACATACATTCAGTGGAAAACATACAGCGACGGGCAACTAAAAGGTAAATTGCATTGCAAGACTTACCTTACCCAGATCGACTAAAACGACTAGGACTGCCCACACTTGAATATAGAAGACTTCGGGCTGACATGATTCAAGTGTACAAAATTCTGAGTGGTGTGGACGATGCAGACAAGTCTAAATTATTTACTGAATCCACTTATCCGGCAACTAGAGGTCACCAGCTAAAGCTCTTTAAGAAACAATGCCGCGTAAACACCACCAAGAACATTTTCAGCAATCGTGTTGTCCCAAATTGGAACAATTTATCAGCTGAAGTGGTTAATGCAAAAAGTTTGAATATTTTTAAAAATAGGTTAAACGCACACTGGAAAGATCATGCACACACATTTTATCCGTCCTTTTAATCTACGATGTGTAAATATTAATTAATACAATTGCGACAATTAGACTTCACTAGTTGTCTAGATACATTTAATTTCATACAATGTATGCCATTCTTCGCGCACTCCATCATCAACCAATCTATCAACGAAATGCAGATTAATAACATCACTACAAGCAGCAGGCTTTCCATTGATGTTTACCTATGAGATATTTTTGTCTTGTTATATTTGTTTCAGTTAACGTTACCTAAAAAGGCGGGAATCGACCGAAAAGTGACTCGCAGATAATGTTAAAACGACGTTACGTCGGACCACATGTGACCAAACATCTAAATGTAAACAACTCTTGCTTACACAACAGGGTTTCACGGGTAATCAAACACCGTAGATAACTCTGAAGGCGATTATAATGAGTTACATGAGCTAGAAGATAACTTACTTCATGAATAAGTCAACAAGAAACGTTTGTTAGCTGGTCAACACCAACACATGGGGATCCAACTGTCTGTCTTTGTCACGTGCTTGTTGTATACAGACGCTGATGGTGTGAGCATCGCACCATTCTTGTGAAGACCACACACCACAGGATCGCATGACGTTGATAGTCTCGGCAGTCCTTAAAGCTTGTCCTATTTATGATGAAGGGGCAGTCACTATTCCAAAATGTCACACAATAAGGACCTTTAGTTAATTATATATATAAACGTAACTTTAAATGCAATCTACAGATTAAAACGATTAATCTTTATCTCAAAACACAGTCATGCCTTACCAGTTACCGGATATAAATCTCTCAGTATTTTCGATGTACTGTTAGACATACACGCAGAAGCTTAAAAAAGGATATATAAATATATGCCGTGATATTGAAGTTAATATTATATGTTTAATGCGTTTATATATATTAGCCAATGTTAACTGTATAAAATCTGGATAACTGAATGATGTCAACAATTCCGACAAAAACAAATTAGGAGTGATTTCAAAAATTAAAACCAAATATTTTAACACTGTAAATCCCTAGGCTTCCTATATACATATACGTAACACATATACCGTTCAATTTTGTTTAATTTATTTAGTAAACAATACATGTACATCACAATACACACATTGTATACAATTATATTTTTACAGTACTAAAGTATAATGTAGAACTTGAAAAAGCTATAGCACACATTTGATTGGATTAGAACATGATAAGATGTGTATTTTAATTAATCCATTCCTAATACCAGATAGCAGACCTAAAACCAGGAGGACTAGAACACATTAAGGTCCGCTACTGTTATACAGTGGCCTGATCAGTCAAACCCCGGGAGTGAGGCTTCCCTGCCCTCAGGAGGAAGGCAGGGGGTGCCATAGTGACGAACTACAGATTTTTGACAGCTTCAATGAGTTGATATATACATACACTAACCCGGTAATAAGCCAGACACCCAGCTGAGCACCCTTCAGAACTTCCGATTCTAAACACTAGTCAACTTTGACCCTAGTTTTGGTGAAATGTGCCAGGCGCACGCTGCTCATCTATGGTAGCCAATCACATAGGCGGGTCCCGAGAGACTAAACGTATACGCGAGTAAAGGGGGAGTCCGCGAGGAGCTAAGCAGATTACCACTAATAACCGCTATTTATAGATTAGAGCCAGCATTTCGTTTATGGATTAACCCCGAGACCCACGCTGTTGGAACTTTGGAACTTATAAAAGCAAGACAATGGAGTTCATGAATATATTTTTAAGTGTGCTGCTAGTGTTTCTGAGTAATTATGGATATGTAACAAAAGCCGTGTCTATGAAACTACTATTTCCATTTGGAGAACAACGTGGTGATACGTTTCTGGACCCCGGGGACGACATCAGTTCGGATGAAGTACCTCTTACTGTGCCGATAGTATTCTACGACAAAACCTACTATAGTGTATACGTGAGTACTACATCTATATAAACTAGAGGTCTCACAGACACGAGGATACAGAGAATCTCCTCTCAGCATCAGTACCAGAGATAAACGATGTGTAGAGTTCCTACACAAACATTCCCCGACACGAGAGGCTCGTACCGGGGTAGTACTGTATCATGCACCACTGGTATGCTCAATATACATATTTGTATAAATTGTATGTATAGGAACCCTTACAAATCCCCCAAGTCCGTTAACTTTTCTGTAGAAGCTATAGACAGACATCAATTTGGAATAACGTTATTTATAGAATGCATAATGTCCTATTTTAACAGCTTCGCCTTAATGTGGTTAAGCTTAGTGTGTAATACGGAATATCCAACATATGTGAAGATGTGGTGTCCCCTCAACTTCTTTTACTTCGATTGGGGGGGGGGGTCTCTCCATTTCTGATATGGTAAAAACCCGTCTTCAGTCCGATTTCATATCTTGCTCAACGCGATAACTTGACAGTACCTCGCTACCTTTCTGCTACATACACTAACTTACGATGGCCGACAAGAGCCTGACAAAAAGATATGAATTTTCATATCTTTTTGTACCACGGTACACTTTTATATGGTACACATAGATATGAAAATTCAATTCTTTGTGTACCATGTAAAAGTGTACCATGGTACATACAGATTATAAACAACTTTACAAAAATACTCTTTAATTTCACATGTATATGTACCAACAGCCGATATAAGCCGGCAAAATTATTTTAATTTTCATATCTTTCTGTACCGTGGTACACTTTTGCCCGGTACAAAAAGGTATGAAAGCTTCTCTCCTTTTTGTACCGCGTTACACTTTTTTTCATTTCTTTTTGTACCACCTACGGTACAAATAGATATGAAAAAAGTGTACCACCAGAGCATCGGAACGTTGTTATCGGACACTATGACCAGAACTTTCATTTGAGAAGTTGAAGCAGATAGAATACATATTAGAAATGTAAGTATTAGAATAATAATCCATAATGACTTCCTTTTTAACGTAAAACATTTATAAAATTCGGTAAAGGATATTGAATAGTTGATTTCAATTTAAATGAGTAAGTAATAGTTTGGTAGCTCATTTGGTGTAATAAAAATAACAGACATTCCGTGCGATAACATTTCATTGTATGTGATGACAGCCTTATCAGAGTGTAATTTGTCATACTTGGTAACCTTTTCGTCTGTTGGTTTCACATGTTTCTGTACCATGGCTGTTTTCGGCCGTTATTTTGGTACAGAAAGATTCAAAAGCAGCGAGTTCTGCTTTCCTATCTTTGTGTACCATGGTACACTTTTACGTGGTACACAAAAATTTGAATTTTAATATCTTTGTGTACCATATAAAAGTGTACCATGGTACAAAAATATATGAAAATTCACATCTTTTTGTCAGGCTCTTGTCGGCCATCGTACTAACTCAATACTAAGAGTTTCAAAAGTTCGGAGATGTTGCTTACGACGATAGTGATTTGTTATACCACGTACTTAGATAACCAATCTAATTCCGTGGTTATACGTATATAACTGTTATGTTGTTCTCGGGTTATTTGTGGTGAATTGCCACAATGTGTACGTCTCATGAAATTATGTTTCCCCTTGACCATGACCAACATCATTTCAGCACTCATCACCAGATCATAGAACGACTTCGGCCAACATAGCCTCCGCGTCATATCGTCTTTATATCACTCTTGTTCTTTTATTTTTGAAATTTACTTTCCGAACAATACATCAGATGATAAAGTACCGATTTGAGTGATTGTCGGGTTACATAGTAGCTACAAAATCTAACACTATTTCTCTTATTAGCCCGATGTTTCCTTAAGTATCCCTGGTTAGCCCGATGTTTCCTTAGGTACCCCTGGTTAGTCCGATGTTTCCTTAGGTACCTCTGGTTAGCCCGATGTTTCCTTAAGAACCTCTGGTTAATGATTCCTTAGGTACCTCTGGTTAGCCCGATGTTTCCTTAGGTACCCCTGGTTAGTCCGATGTTTCCTTAGGTACCTCTGGTTAGCCCGATGTTTCCTTAAGAACCTCTGGTTAATGATTCCTTANATGATTCCATAGGTACCTCTGGTTAGCCTGATGTTTCCAATTAGGTACCCCTGGTTAATGATTCCTTAGGTACAGCTGGTTAGCCTGATGTTTCCAATTAGGTACCCCTGGTTAATGATTCCTTAGGTGCCCCTGGTTAGCCCGATGTTTCCTTGGGTACCCCTGGTTAATGATTCCTTAGGTACCTATGGTTAGCCTGATGTTTCCTTAGGTACCTCTGGTTAATGATTCTTAGGTACCCCTGGTTAGCCCGATGTTTCCTTAGGTACCTCTGGTTAGCCTGATGTTTCCTTAAGTACCTCTGATTAATGATTCCGTAGGTACCTCTTGTTAGCCCGATGTTTCCTTAGGTACCACTGGTTAGCCCGATGTTTCCTTAGGGTTAATGATTCCTTAGGTACCTATGGTTAGCCTGATGATTCCTTAGGTACCTCTGGTTAATGATTACTTAGGTACCTCTGGTTAGCCTGATGTTTCAAATTAGGTACCCCTGGTTAGTGATTCCTTAGGTACCTATGGTTAGCCCGATGCTTCCTTAGGTATCCCTGGTTAGCCCGATGTTTCCAATTAGGTACCCCTGGTTAATGATTCCTTGGGTACCCCTGGTTAGCCTGATGTTTCAAATTAGGTACCCCTGGTTAATGATTACTTAGGTACCCCTGGTTAATGATTCCTTAGGTACCGCTGGTTAGCCTGATGTTTCCAATTAGGTTCCCCTGGTTAATGATTCCTTAGGTACCCCTGGTTAGCCCGATGTTTCCTTGGGTACCCCTGGTTAATGATTCCTTGGGTACCTATGGTTAGCCTGATGTTTCCTTAGGTACCCCTGGTCAATGATTCCTTAGGTACCTCTAGTTAGCCCGATGTTTCCTTGGGTACCCCTGGTTAATGATTCCTTAGGTACAGCTGGTTAGCCTGATGTTTCCAATTAGGTTCCCCTGGTTAATGATTCCTTAGGTACCCCTGGCTAATGATTCCTTAGGTACCCCTGGTTAATGATTGCTTAGGTACCTCTGGTTAATGATTCCTTAGGTACCGCTGGTTAGCCTGATGTTTCCAATTAGGTACCTCTGGTTAATGATTCCTTAGGTACCCCTGGCTAATGATTCCTTAGGTACCCCTGGTTAATGTTTCCTTAGGTACCCCTGGTTAATGATTCCTTAGGTACAGCTGGTTAGCCTGATGTTTCCAATTAGGTACCCCTGGTTAATGATTCCTTAGGTACCGCTGGTTAGCCTGATGTTTCAAATTAGGTACCCCTGGTTAATGATTACTTAGGTACCCCTGGTTAATGATTCCTTGGGTACCCCTGGTTAGCCTGATGTTTCCTTAAGTTCCTCTGGTTAATGATTCCGTAGGTACCTCTGGTTAGACCGATGTTTCCTTAAGTACCCCTTGTTAATGATTCCGTAGGTACCTCTGGTTCGCCCGATGTTTCCTTAAGTACCCCTGGGTAGCCCGATGTTTCCTTAAGTACCTCTGGGTGATGATTCCTTAGGTACCTCTGGATAGCCCGATGTTTCCTTAAGTACCCCTGGTTAGCACGATGTTTCCTTAAATACCCCTGGTTAGCCTGATGTTTCCTTAGGTACCCCTGGTTAATGATTGCTTAGGTACCTCTGGTTAATGATTCCTTAGGTACCTCTGGCTAATGATTCCTTAGGTACCCCTGGTTAGCCCGATGTTTACTTAAGTACCCCTGGTTAGCCCGATGTTTTCTTAAGTACCTCTGGTTAATGATTCCGTAGGTACCTCTGGTTAGCCTGATGTTTCCTTAAGTACCTCTGGTTAATGATTCCGTAGGTACCTCTTGTTAGCCCTATGTTTCCTTAGGTACCACTGGTTAGCCCGATGTTTCCTTAGGTACCTCTGGTTAATGATTCCGTAGGTACCTCTGGTTAGCCCCATGTCTCCTTAGGTACCTCTGGTTAGCCAGTTTTCTCCCTTGACACCGCCGGACCTTCTATGGCCAGTTGCTTTCCAGGTACCTCTTTACCCCGTTGTCTCCATTGACACCCCCGGTTATATTATGGCCCGTTACCTCCACACGTATACTCGTTAGCCCATTGGTTCCCTAGGGACCCCAAGTTATCATGTTGACTTCGGATCCTTTGACACTCGTAGTTAGACTATTGTCTCCCAGATATTCTAGTGACTAGTTGTTTTTGTCAGAAAAAAAGGTGGCCGGTACATGCTACCGTATACAATGACACGTTAAATTGGTCCTTCCGTGGCCAAATCATTGGCCATTGTCATGTTAACTTAGGTGATATTCAGACCTAAAACCAAGTCGTTGGAGATCATGCCTATTATTTCAGCACACATCTGCTTTTATTTGGCATTCAGAGGCAATATGAATTTTAATTGGACTAAGGCAAATCCAATATGAAGCGCTTCATTCGATTGCTTTTTGTCCAGTTGGCAGTTAGATTGCCTCTGAATACCAATTGAAAGCAGTTCAATGCCTATATCTATTTTAAGAATCTCATTTCTTATGAAATTTCAATTACACTTCAAGAAATGTATTAATATTCATTATTTAGTACAATCCTTTTATTTACCGTATATGCTTGTTCAATTAATAGAACAGCTATCTGTCCAGAGAGGGTCTGTAGTATCTAGCCTAACAATTATGACGTTACAATAAGCATTACGTCAAAAATCGGATCATGGCATTAATAGCTTGCCATACAGTGATGAATATTTAAGGACTTGACATTTTAAACATATTCTATGACGCGTGGTAATACCTCTTGGAGAATACACTTGAACGGAACTGTTTTAGCAGGTGACGGAACAGCCATTTTTGCGAGAACAATCTCGTGCTTTCTATGGTTGAATAATATCAGTACCGTCAGACAGCGAACGTCCATTGGAAACAATTCGGGAATTTCCGTCAAAATTCTCATTTAACGTCACAGGATTGGTTTCTCAAACAGTTGAACGGAAATTAAAGACTCCAACAGTTTCCGATTGGAAAATCTCCACGTGTAATATATCTTGTTGTTATTGGATTATAACAACACTTTTGGTTGGTAAGTTTATTTTTATAAGGATAGTACAAAGAAAATGTTAATACATTTTTGTATATACACGTAACGGAGAATATTCCGGTCGAAGAGCTGTCTATATAGGGAACGTCTGTCCCAGGTCTACATGTAAATTTGGAATTGGCTTGCTAACAGGATCCCGTCTATATGATGACTCAGGTGATGAAGTAAATCGAGCCTGGTACACATGGTGTCAAATCTAACCCTTAGTGGCTCTAACAAGGATCTCGTCTGTTTCTGATCTCCTCATGAAAGGCTAGAGGTCATTGTCCCTACCCCAACTCCCCTCCGGAACACCTCCAGCGTTGTGACAGTGTCGGTACTGTCTATATTGGCACTCAATCAAAGGTTAAGGACCATTTAACACCAACGGTGTGTACCAGCCATCGTTATCAATCACATTCATAACATCATAAAATATGGGTACATTACACTTGTTCCGACACACATGGCGAGTGTTCGAGGAACCCCTTACTAGGCCAAACACAGAATCCCAGTTACTGCAACCACAAACCGGAAGTAGCTGCTGAGCGGGGAAGCTGAGACACGGACAACAGACTCCTAACATCATACAAAAGACCATTATAATACTTTACAGACTTCCTGGTATCATACAGAATCCATGTGTGATGTCTTATCAGAAACAAGCTAACAATGTAGTATGTTTTCTGAGAGGAGAAAACCTCAACCAAAGATTGGCAAAACAAAACAATATAGTATAACTACCATTACATATGTTTCTAGATCACGGAATATACAGTAAAAGTATGGTTTATAATTTGTATTTCCCCACTTCTTTTTTGTGTTTAGAACTATAGTGTACGATATTCAGCGTTAAATCTACTGCCTTGCAATGATGAAATAAGAAAACAATTAGTATCACACCACTGATGACGTTTGCCTCGCTGATTGACAGATGACCCCGCTACGCAGCTGTCAGTCCAGTCGTAGTATCCTGTTGACGCCGTGGGAACAGGCCTTATACATGTGGAACATATGCTAAACCCGTAACAATGCCACGGATACCATATAAGCTATAAAATCATTTGTATATTATATCTTATAGATAATGTAAGTCACCCATGTTTCGCGTTAAGATACATATGAAAAGTATAAACTATAATGGTCTGTAATATGACCTTCCGTGGGGGCATGTTTCTAATATGGCCTGTCCGTGAGGGCATGTTTCTAATATGGCCTCTCCGTGAGGGCATGTCTCTCATACGACCACTCCGCGAGGGCATACGATTAGGATAAGTCTCTTATACGGCCTGTGCATGAGGGCATGTTTCTAATACGACCTCTCCGTGAGAGCATACAATTAGGATAATTAGGGCATACGATTAGGGTCAGTCCTACATACACCCTGTCCGTGAGAGCATATGATTATTATCAACCTCTTAGGACAGAAATGACGTCGCAAAATAATAACAAAATTCGAATTTTCTATGTTGCAACTTAGTATTCATTTCAAAGCAGGCTGTCAAAGGGTTGGACAGTTTTATTGTTAGAATGAAAACTATGTCACGACAATAATAATAATAAAAGATGTTATTACTAGATATCTGCATTGGTATACCGTGTCTTGAGGATATCCGTCAACATTTGTCCAGATACCTAAGATTAACGCACATGATCCGTCGATAGATTTGATTATTCTCAAGTATGGCGTTCAGCTCCCGGGGATGTTCCCAACTTTTATATATATTTTTATCGGAACAAATCGTACTTTTGACCCAGACATGCTTCTGTAAGTGGACTTTCTCGGCACACCACATGGCTCCCTACGTTTGGCTCAGACACTAAACACGTGCCTGCTGTGAGCATTTGAAACTGATTATTCATATTACCATGTCAAGACTTATCTTAGCAGGTGGCATGGCCTTTAATTTGTCTAACAAGAAACACGAATAAGTAAAATAGGAAACAGGTGTATGTAAATATCGGATTGATTGTGAGAGTAGTTTGTGGCACCAAAATTAGTGAGTGGGTATAGGTTATCAGTGATCACCTATAACACTGTGTAAGAAGTAGCATCTCTTAAGGCTGTATCTACTGTATGGCATCTCCAACTAGAGACGTATAGATACAGCCAGCGTCTTATGGGTTACCGTGTACTATAGGGCAGGATAAAATGCTTGACCAGTCTTCCCGGATTAAACTATATGATCTTTGAAAATAAGGAATATTGAAATAGAAATCCAGTGGTCGAAGGATCTAGAGTTTAACAGCATTTGAATCCCGGTGGGCTTGAAGGCGGGGTCGCGACTTCAGGCGTCTAATGCTACACATGGCCATACACAAGGCCTTAACATAATTATATAAATCACCATTTTTGCTTGCTTTTTTTTCTCTCGTTATGTTTGCATCAAGTTGAATTGCTTTGAATGAAAGCTTGTGTGTGAATAAAATACGTAGCAGAGTATAGATGATACTGTACAATAATGTAAATGTGAATTCTTTTCTTTTTTAGGTGAACAATAATGGACATTTATCTTTTGAATCGGAGCTGCCGGTATATCAAGCAAATTTTGTACTTCCAAGTCGGTTTAAGTTGATTGCAGCATTTTTGGCCGACATAGACACAACACACGCCGGATCCGTATATTACAGGTGGGTTTTATTTGTGGCATGACAAGTTCACAAAGTTCCTGTGAGGTGTTACGGGATTGCGCAGCATCAGTTGTCAGTCGTCAGGTCGATGAATTGTGTAAACATTTCTAACCATACACAACTGCTGTAGCTTGCTTGCGTAGAGGGTTCTCATACATGTAACATTCAAGGCCAACGGAACGTGGATAAACCGTTAAAATCTTCTAACGATTTAGTCTACAGATAATTATATTAGTTTATATTCATAAATAACAAATTTAGTGGCAAGGGTTGCGCGCCTTCAATTTTCGCAAAAAAAAACAACACTTTATGATTCATTATCAAGGTCATAGGGCTCAAATGGTAAAAAAACCTTCAGATGAACTATTATTCACCGCTCAATAATATTTAGTCGATGCAGCTTGCTTGTGAGGATGAATATCAAATTTGGTTAAATTGAATAACCTTGACCCACTTTCAAGGTCACATAGGTCAAATAAATTTGGAACATCAAAACAAATGAAAACCAGGCGATTGATTCATATTTATGAGTCTCTTGTTTCCTTATGCCTATTTTCAGCATTCTAATGTGTATTTGAAGTGTACTATCGGTAGTGTACATGTATTTACTCTGAGTAGGTTCCACGTGTATATATGTGTACTGTATGTTATCTCCTGTTTTATATGTAAACATTCTAAAACTGTGCCTAGTATGTATTCAGCTTCTAGTAAAAAACATGTAGAGGTAGATTAAAGACAAAATAGATATAAACACTGTGAGGTACACTTAGTGGTGTATACAGTAGATATAAACACTGTGGTGTACACTTAGTGGTGTATACAGTAGATATAAACACTGTGGTGTACACTTAGTGGTTTATACAGTAGCTATGAACACTGTGAGGTACACTAAGTGGTGTATACAGTAGATATAAACACTGTGGGTACACTAAGTGGTGTATACAGTAGCTATGAACACTGTGAGGTACACATAATGGTGTATACAGTAGATATAAACACTGTGGAGTACACTGAGTGGTTTATATAGTAGATACAAACACTGTAAGGTACACTTAGTGGTGTATACAGTAGATATAAACATTGTGGAGTACACCGAGTGGTTTATACAGTAGATACAAACACTGTGAGGTACACTTAGTGGTGTATACAGTAGCTATGAACACTGTGAGGTACACATAATGGTGTATACAGTAGATATAAACACTGTGATGTTTATTTAGTTGTGTATACAGAAGATATAAACACAGAAGGGTACACTTAATGGTGTATACAGTAGATATAAACACTGTGGGGTAAACTTAGTGGTGTATACAGTAGATATAAACACTGTGCTGTCCACCAAGTGGTGTATACAGTAGATATAAACACTGTGCTGTCCACCAAGTGGTGTATACAGTAGATATAAACAATGTGGTGAACACTTAGTGGTGTATACAGTAGATATACACACTGTGGTGTACACTTAGTGGTTTATACAGTAGCTATGAACACTGTGAGGTACACTAAGTGGTGTATACAGTAGATATACACACTGTGGTGTACACTAAGTGGTGTATACAGTAGATATACACACTGTGGTGTACACTTAGTGGTTTATACAGTAGCTATAAACACTGTGATGTACACTAAGTGGTGTATTCAGTAGATATAAACACTGTGGTGAACACTTAGTGGTGTATACAGTAGATATAAACACTGTGGTGAACACTTAGTGGTGTATACAGTAGATATACACACTGTGGTGTACACTAAGTGGTGTATACAGTAGCTATGAACACTGTGAGGTACACTAAGTGGTGTATACAGTAGATATACACACTGTGGTGTACACTTAGTGGTTTATACAGTAGCTATAAACACTGTGATGTACACTAAGTGGTGTATTCAGTAGATATAAACACTGTGGTGAACACTTAGTGGTGTATACAGTAGATATACACACTGTGGTGTACACTTAGTGGTGTATACAGTAGATATACACACTGTGGTGTACACTTAGTGGTTTATACAGTAGCTATAAACACTGTGATGTACACTAAGTGGTGTATTCAGTAGATATAAACACTGTGGTGAACACTTAGTGGTGTATACAGTAGATATAAACATTGTGGAGTACACCGAGTGGTTTATACAGTAGATACAAACACTGTGAGGTACACTTAGTGGTTTATACAGTAGCTATGAACACTGTGAGGTACACTAAGTGGTGTATACAGTAGCTATGAACACTGTGAGGTACACATAATGGTGTATCCAGTAGATATAAACACTGTGGAGTACACTGAGTGGTTTATATAGTAGATACAAACACTGTAGGGTACACTTAGTGGTGTATACAGTAGATATAAACACTGTGAGGTACACTTAGTGGTTTATACAGTAGCTATAAACACTGTGATGTACACTAAGTGGTGTATACAGTAGATATAAACACTGTGGTGTACACCTAGTTGTGTATACAGTAGATATAAACACTGTGGGGTACACTCAGTGGTGTATACAGTAGATATAAACACTTTGGGGTACACTTAGTGGTGTATAAAGTAGATACAAACACTGTGTGAACACTTAGTGGTGTATACAGTAGATATAAACAATGTGGGGTACACTTAGTGGTGTATACAGTAGATATAAACTCTTTGGGGTACACTTAGTGGTGTATAAAGTAGATACAAACACTGTGTGAACACTTAGTGGTGTATACAGTAGATATAAACACTGTGGGGTACACTTAGTGGTGTATACAGTAGATATAAACACTATGGTGAACACTTAGTGGTGTATACAGTAGATATAAACACTGTGGTGAACACTTAGTGGTGTATACAGTAGATATAAACACTGTGGGGTACACTTAGTGGTGTATACAGTAGATATAAACACTGTGGGGTACACTTAGTGGTGTATAAAGTAGATACAAACACTGTGGGAACACTTAGTGGTGTATACAGTAGATATAAACACTATGATGTTTATTAGATGGTGTATACAGTAGCTATGAATACTGTTGGGTATATTAAGTGGTGTATACAGACAAATATTTCCATGTAACCAAGATTTGCCCCAGATTTTAGCCCCATACATTTGAACTTAGTCCCTGAACTATGTATGGGAAACAAATGAGATTATATACTCTAAAACTACTTATTAATTTGCTAGGCATTTATAGATATATAAAAACATGCTCCTTGAATCAGACTGTGGTCTGACCCCTCCCTTGAGGATTTAGCCTCTTTGTTATACACTCCATGACCCTATAATATGTTTAACTACTTGGCATGAAATGAAGAACTTAATCATGCTATTAGGCAGGATCAGTACCCCTTGTTATTGATATACAGACCCAAAATGGAAAATATTAATGAAAATATTTTGCAATGATTGCTTAAAACTCCAGGTGAGCGATACATACTCTCTTGGGCCTCTTTGTATAGGTTTTCTAGGAAAATTGTGTTTCTTTTTTAGTAGTTTTGTATTGAATAATTATTCCAATTTTTGTTTAATAAATGTATGAGAGACAAATATGATTATTTTTAGTATGTAAACAAGTGAACAAAGATTGGTTATGTTACAGAGAATCCACAGAGACAGCTTTACTAGAGAAGGCAGCTCAGGATATCCAGGCTCAGTTTGAAGGTTTTGAAACATACATCCCCCGAGCCCTTTTTGTAGCTACATGGGACAATGTGGGTTTCTTTAGGACCAATGACACAGCGGTAAGTAACCCTGCATGAACTTAATACTTGGTCTCCTGAGGACCAACAACATTGTGCTGTGCACTTTGATTTATTTTCTTGTAGACATAAAAAGTTTCATAAAACTAAATAAACTATATAGCTTGTAGATAGTTTTGGTATTGTTATCAAACATTAATGTTCTAGATTTGCAATTCATGTTTTTGTTATTTCCAGTTAAATACTTTTCAAATTGTGATAGCATCTGATGGGGAAAGTTCCTTTGCCTTCTTTAACTACCTGGATGACGGACTTAACTGGATCCGGAGCTCAGGGAAGCTGTCACAGAATGATCCTCCTGCCCAGGCTGCATTTGATTCTGGGGAGGGGCGCATTCATACCAAACTACCTTTCTCAGGCACAGAGGAAGTGGCCAGACTAGCTAAGTAGGTGTACCAAGCATGCACAGGTGTATAAAACATCACAAACGTATTACAGAGAAAAAATAGGTGTCAAACACAACACAGCTATATCACACATTACACAGGTTTATCATAGTTACACAGGTATATCACACACTACACAAGAGTATGACTCACGACAAAGGTGTGTCATAAGTAACACAGTTATATCACACACAACACAAGTGTTTCACACACTACACAGGTGTATCATATATCACACATGTGTATCACACACAACACAAGTGTATCACACACTACACAGGTGTATCATACACAACACAGGTGTATCACACACAACACTGGTGTATCACACACAACACCGGTGTATCATGCACTACACAGGTGTACCACACACTTCACAGATGTATCACGCACTACATGATGTATCACATGCATGACAGGTATATCACATATGACATATGACCCTTAGACATCTTATGGACTAGGAATGATTTCATATATACATTAAATATGTTCGTACAATGTAACAATCCTGAGACATGAACATATGAAAATATATGTGTCGTATTTTGAAGGAAATCCAATGTGGGCATAGCAGGAGTGTGGATGTTCAAGATTGGCAATACATTAGGAGGAGATATCAGCGGACCAGGAGACGATGATGGAGATGGTAAGTTACTGGAACGAGGACACGAGGATGGAGATGGTAAGTTACTGGAACGAGGACACGAGGATGGAGATGGTAAGTTA